TCTGGAGCTGCAGGGCTGTCTGCCGTCTTGTACTTTGCTGGATATTGAAACCTCAAGGGAAGTGGGAGCAATGTGAAGGCATAAAGGGAGAGCAGAGCTGGGGACCAACACCTGGGAAACAGAGCCTTGACCTCTGTCAGTCAGGGAAGGACAGAGACCTCCACACACGGGGAGGTGGGGTCTGCACATCTGGGCAGGTGGCCCTCAGCATACCAGAAGCTCCAGGGCTGCTGAGTTTCCGCAAAGGGTCCAGGCTGCCACCCTGCAGAGGCAGGCTCTGATGGGCTTCCACAGAGCAGAGGAAATGAAACTTGCCACGTCAAGAGATAAACATCTTCAAACCAAGGAAGGAACACGTCAAGAGGCAGCTTTCTCAGTTCACACGGGGCATTTCTGCTCAGAGAAAGGCCAGCACTGAACTGAGGCCAGGGGTGGGGGGGCGAGGAGGGAGAAGGAAAGTGGGGGTGGCAAGAAGTGTGGACCCAGGGGATAAATCCAGCCTGGAGAAGGCAAGCAGGGGTTGCTGCAGGAGCGACACCCCCACATCCGCTGGACTCCAGGGTGCACCAGGTTGAAAGTGCTCTTCACCCACTGAGGGAGTCAGAGAACTGGCCCCATGTGCCCACAAAGGGCCACCAAGTGCAGAGGTGGCTACAACAGACAGGAGCTGCCACCTGCCAACAGCTGATGGACACACCAGGCACAGGTCCACCTGAGCCAATGCACTTGCTTCTGTGAGGAAAGTCTTGTCATTTCCACTTTATTGATGAGGCAATCTGGGCACAGTGGTGAGGTCACTGGTCAAGGTTAAGTTTCCTAATAAGTGCACTGTCATGCAGAGGGCACCTCAGCCTCCACCTGGAAGCAGCAGACCATCTCCAGGCTCCCGCCTCCCCCTGAAACATGGAGCCTCGGAGAACAGGTGACCAAGCAGATCGCCCTGACAGCAAGAGAGGGAGTGTGAGGCTGCAGAGAGCCAGCTTTCTGAGGACGCGGGCACCGCCTTCTATCAGATTCAGGGCCTGGCCCACAGGTGGGGCCCTCCTATTCACACAAGGCATTTCAGATTTTACCACAGCAACTGCGATGAAAGGGTGTGTCCAGACGGGTTCAGTCAGGGTGGGGAGTAACTTCCTCAAAATGCTGCTCAGGGCCTGTGGGTCCTGAGGCTTTTCCCTTGCAGCGGCGGAGGCTCTGCCCTGCACGAACGCATCTCTGAGATGCAGCCACAACAGCAGCAACAGGGAGGCAGGGCCAGGCCTGGAGGGGAGGGAGCCTGTGGCCTGTGCCCAGAGCAGGTGCACAGGGGCCTTCGGGCCTTTTTGAGCATCACATTCCACAGCAGATGCACTTGACTTGCTGACCCTCTTGGCACTAACGTAATGATTACGATTAAAAGGAAGACAGGGAAGGATATGGCCAGAGTCGGAACCTCTACATCAGCAGGTACCATTCTTTACCACATATGTTGCCAAGGACAGTGACTTCATTCTTCAGGGGCCCCCTGTGTCCTGGGAACTGCCCACCCACAGTGGTACTATTCATCAGTGACCCATAGTGGCAGCTGTCTCCTCACACGTGTCTGTCTGGCTGCTCGTCACTGAATCATCTCACTGAGGCCTCGTAACCGCCCTGCAGGAATGCGTTAGTATTTCTACTTTGAGGATATTGCAGCTCAGAAACATTAAATGACACAGCCCAGACCAGGCAGCTAAAACGTGGTAGACTCAGAATCTGAAGCGGGAACTCAAATCAAAGTGAAGTGGGGCCCAGAGGTAGGACACCAGCTCCCCGTCTAAATGCAGAATGGGCATGGTCATGCACCTCTGTGTGCAAAGCTCCCGTGGGGAACTAGATCTAAGGGGCTGACTGCTCCTCCAGGGAGGACTATGGATGTGGAGTTACAGATGGCCACAGCTCAAAGTCTCAGCACAGGTGTGGGCCCAGGTCTTGTTCTGTGTCAAGTGAGACTCAGGCACCCCGTAAGGCCTGCACCTTCAATCACTTTCAAGCTCAGCAGAGAACAAGAAGGACATCCTTGAGAGAGAGAGGGGACAGAGGGGCTGACATGCAAAGAGGTGGGTAATGCTGGCAAGATCCACAAAGTGGCACTCCCCACAGTTTAAGGGTTAGAAACAGACAGACTCCAGGGTTTAATTTTCAAAAGCCTTTCAAATTTAACCCATTGCTTCCTTATGCTTTCCATGTTGTTGAGAGAGAAGGGAACTTTGCTTCTACTGAAATTGATGCGGCTAGGGAGGAAGGTGAGGGTGGCCAGCACAGATGGTCCCTCCCAGGCCTGGCCTCAATTATCCCCATCAGGAAACACAGGCGATGTCCTCCATGCAGGTCACTACATAGGCCAAATAACAGAGAATTTGCTAGAATTCAACTATATTCTGCCAAGAGGCTGGTGAGAAACAGCATGAGTGACAAAACCTAGGAGTTTCACATTCAGGAATCAAGGGGTTAAAAAACGAAACAAGAAGAAAAAATGTCCTATCAGTACATTTAGAGCTGCCCAGACAGAGACACTTGTCATGTTCTGGACAGGCAAGACCACTGGGACTTCTGCATAACATGGGGCAGAGAAAGGGCTCCGCAGTGAAATCAGAGGATTTCTAAGCTAGCTGTACCCTCAGACTGGCCCTGTGACTTTGAGAAAGGTCACCGGCCCCCTTCACACTCCACGTGGTCCAGTGACCTCACCCACCAGACACAGGGCAATCATTCTTCCCAGGACCCCAGGGGCTGTGATAGGCCAAGGCTGCTCATCAGACAGCAGGAAGGTGTGGCCCAAAGTGCCCCCAGACACACCACGGAAGAGTGACAACCAGCTCCCTAACAGTCCCTTCTTATCTTCTCCTTAAGTTGAAAAATGCTCTTGAAAATTAAAAAGTATTTTGCTCGGACGCATTTGCTCCAAGGAGCTGTTTGGTTTCACATTCACATCAGATACTCTGTTCCTGTTCTCTTTGGAAACGGTCGTGCTCCTTCACAAAAGTCCAATGTAACTCCAGACTGAGAGTCAGAGACCCGCAGTCCAGAGCAAGTTTCTTACATCTGGATATTTCTTCTCTGAGCCCTAGGACATCAAGGATTTTGGCTTTATCACAATACACTCTTTGGGACGATTACACATCCTCCCATAATTTAGAAGCGTGGCCTCAGAGTAAAACCCCGTCACAGCCATGGCAGGATCTGACTTACATATTAGGGAAAGTGCATTCACCCCTGGAGCTCTGCCTCCTGGCAGCAAAACAAGGCTAAAGCATGGACCCTGTGGAACCTCCGGAGGCCACTCCTGTGCTCCAGGATTTGGGACATCCTTCCCACACTGCTCATTTCACAAACAGGTCTTCACCATGGGGGTGTGATCCTTGGCCATCTATCCCTTCTACTCACTGATGCTTGAAAATTCCTCTCTTAGGAAACACATTTAAAGATGATGCTTAAAAGCATAAACCCCATGAGAGAGGGGACATGTGTGGTGTTTACACCCGCCAGCAGGCCCATGAACTTCTGGAGAGCTGAGTTACCAGAGAATATGGCCTTGCTTCTGCTCAGTCAGTCCCATGTACAACTCTGAGACTTACCAGGCTGGACACTGGAGTCCTCATCAATACAGCAATAGCCACATCTCCAATATGGATAGAGAATTAGGTTAAACTATAATCTTGTGGTAAAAGGTCGACAAGTATCACCTCTTAATTTCACAGGTACAGTTCTTAAATCTCCAAGAAAAGTAGAAAACAGAAGTATAAAGGGGATCCCTCTGTCAGTATACCACTGGGATTCGGTACATATTCCTGTTCCAAACTAAAATATTCAAAGACCTTAGAGCAGATACAACAGGGCCCAAAAAACAGAAGGATAAGAAGCACAAGGCCAGGGGGTGGGGAGGATGAAAGAGGTGGACAGGGCGTATCCCTTCCACCTGGTCCCCATGGACCAGCCCAAGTCCTCAGAGGGCATTAAAGGCGAAATCTGGATAAGGACTTGGGTTTCCAAGGGCAGGGGAATCTGAGCTGGAGAAGAGAAAAGCACTCTCTTCTTTAAGACCAAGATATGAGCTGGTCCCTACATGAGGTAGAACCCCCTGAACAATTCCTGGAATACAGTGAGCCATGAATTCAAATTTGTTGCTTCCATCCTTCTAAGAAATTCACATTCTTAAAAAGAAAACAGTGGCTCAAAGGAATTCTTAAAACCAAAGGCAGCTGAAGAGAAAGCTACTGGGGTTTAGTAAACGCTAAATAGAGTTAACAGCAGAACTATGAATAGAACCCAGATGCCCAGCATCCTGTCCAGCTGTCTCCTGAAATAACCAAGACCTTCATGGTGCTGGGCAATCGCATGGGCAGTTTCTCCACCTGGAACCCAGTCTTTCCCACGCTGCCCGCTGCCTGTGAGACGGTCATCCGTAAAGCCTTGGCTCTAAAATAACCTTTGCTATAAAACCTTCCTGGACTCTCCAGTCTAACTTAGGCCTAATATCCCCCTTCCCACCCTGGTTCTCTCCTGACCCAGCATAAATTGCTATTTGGTGCCTGCAGCATTCCTCTATGGGTCAGTTAACTAATTCATGTTGATATTAATAGTACTAAGAATTGTGACTAATACACAACATACGTTTAGGGAGTGAATAAATGATAAACAACTGATTCTAGGCACTGAGTATTCTCAAGGTAGAATTTTCAAAATCCCGCCACCTGGGTCTGCAGCCACCTTCAGCGTTCATGACACAAAACTGCACTTCTTTACTGTATCAGCACACAGAATACCCTGGGCCCTGTCATTTGCACACTGGATGACACCTTTAGAGAAGTGGCTATTAGCTTTAGAAAGGCGCGTATAATCTCAGTGTTCTCCTCCATCTGCCCTCCTAAGCTTCCTCCCCCTCAGCTGGACACAGGCAGCAAAACATCTCCATTCATTCCATCCTCTCAAGTGGGCCAGCAGGAGCAGCCCATCAGGGTCTGGACGGGAACGGGGCTTACCTCTCTTCGTCCTTAAAGATGAATTTCCGCAGCTTGAGGTCCCGGAGGACCAGCCCCCCGTCATGGCAGTGGGCCACCGCCGAGGCGATCTGGTAGAACAGTCTGGCTGCCTCCTCTTCCCTCAGCTTCTTGCAGGTACGGACGAAGGAGTGCATGTCCCCATAGCTTCGCTCAAAGAACACATAGGCTTTGGTCTCACCCAGGATAATTTCAGTGATTTGATTGATGTTGCTATGGGCAGACAGGCAAAAGCACGGTGCCAGGGACTCCTGGTAGCAGCTGATATCAAACACCTAGGGCGGGGATAAGACCATAATCAGAGGTGCCTCTTGCACAACCAAAACACACCATGCTGACACTTCCCATAGGCAGGGTGGATCGGATCCAGATCACACTGGCCCTGCCTTCCATCAACTGTGTGGCACTGAACAAGCCACTGACCTCTCTGAGCCTCCCAAGTCGTCATGTGTAAAATTGGCCACGTGACCCTTGATTTGCCATTAGGAAGATTGTAGGAGAACATAAGGGCCAATGTGCTTTGCAAAGTGTCATATGGTACAGAATTGGTTAAGTTTTGCTTATTTTACTTATTTTTCCCTTTAGCCCAATCACCCATGTTCACAGAACTAAGACAAAATCTGGGAGAAAGTTACCCACCCAAGACATACAGACAATGCCCGTTCTCCAATGAAAAACAAAACAAAACAAACAAACAAAATGCATAACATCACTTCTCTGGCTTTCGGCTAAGATCAAGTACAAAAAATGCACAAGAGCTGCTATGTAAAATATTAGCCATTAATAGATTAAATATCTAAATTTTGCCTAATGGTTCAATATGTTCATTTTACAGATGAGAGAACTGAGGCTCAGAGAATGAGCCAGAGCTCCAGCCCCCAGTGGCAGGGCTAGGAATAGGATGCAGTCTTTCTTAATAAAGAAGCTGACTTCCTTCTCTCTTCTCTCCACAGATATCTAACTCAATGAACCAGTTATGCAACAGTTTTCTATGAATCAAAATTAGCCTGTGAAATGCCACTTCATTGTAAGCTTGCTTAAAAAGAAAATGCACCATCAATACCTTTTGAAATAGACCTAACAGAAATTAACACTGCAGAGAATTTCTGAGGTTATTTAAAAAAAAAAGAAAGAAAGAAAGAAAGAAAGAAAAAGGCTTTCATTCAAGTCCTTCACTGAATCAGAAATGTTAAGTCTCTGGGTTTGGAACGTGGTTTTCCTATCTGCCTGGAGCACGGATGAAGCAGATCTCTTTGGTGTGTGTGTCAGTGAGGGGCGAGCGTGGGTGTGCTTTGCTGGAAAGCATCGGAGGCAGCAACACCCAAACAATATACTTCGTATCATCAGTTCACAATCATTTAGCATCTTCAATTGCTTTTTCAGTGGTTAAAACGTGTTGTCCCTGATCCTGATTTTGCAATGTGGTGAGGAAAATGCTGGACTGGAAATCACCAACCTTGAGGCTGTAATCCTGGCTGGGCCATCAATAATCTGGATGAGATGGATAAAGAGCTTAGGGTTATTGGACCTCCCTCCTCTTCACAAAATAAAGATGCCGATTTACAACACTGTTAACCTTTTTTAAGGTCCTGATCTCACATAAAATCTGATAAAAGCCCTGTCCCCTCTTAGTGGACAATGCCCATTCTCAAATGCACGCATAAGACTGGATTCATTTGAAGAAGCTCTGCAGGCCCTGGCAGCCCATCCCAGGACACGGCCTGCCATTTAAGAATCTTTGAGTTAAGTCACCCTAAGCTTCAAAAAATAAATTAAAATAGAAAAATCTGTGAGTCAAACAGGGTTAGTAAGAACCTCAAGAGGGCTGGTGCTAACCCTGCCAAGGAAGCCAAGTTAACAGGAACGTTGTGAATGAACCATAATGAGGCATCTCAGGAAAGCGGCACAGCTGCTGCCACTATAACCTAGAATTTAAGAATGAATACTTCACCATCTCCAGAGACCACAAATCACACCCTGATACTGTCAAATGATGACCTCAGAGCAGTGACCTCACAGGCCTGTTCAATTAAGAATCTGAAATGCTTGAGTCAACTTTAACACCCAGACTGCAGGCAACAGAAACCGGGGAAGCCTCAAAAATTGCAGAGTAATAAATGTTTTGCAGCAGCGAAGGTAAACACGCTGCATTATATAATGAGAATGATGTGTTCCCAAGCACCAGGCTGCAGGTTCTGTCGCCAGTGTGAGCAGAGTTATAATTATTCATAGTACACTTCCTGTTCCAGGTGCATTAAAAGGAAAAAAAGGTTTTGTTTTTTTTTTTAACTTCTTTGCTCAGCACATTATGCTGCCCCCCCCCCAATTGAAAAACTGAATGGATATAAAAAGAAAAAAAATAGGTTAGTGGCAGTTTCAAACTGTAGCCCTTCCCTTTGTAGAAAAGACCAAATTCTAAGATGGTGGACAGAATATGAAAAATAAAATAAGGACTTATGTTTACCCAAATGGGAAGGAGCCGAACTTTTATTAGTAGCTATAACATGCATTTATGGGCTTGGATTCGTATTTAAACCATCACCTTCAAGTGCAAAATCAAGTCATAAGCCTGGTTGCCAGCTTTCCTTACATGTTTAATTTGGAGCCTTAGTTATATAATGTGACAGTTCAGATAAGGCAGTAAGATTAGACAATCATTAATAACGTTAGCAGGAAAAAAAGTGCCCATTCTGCCAAGATAGTAATTATGTCAATCTGCACAGTAGCTACCAGCAATTGCATGAAAACATACAGTTAATGACTCCCCAAAGCTCCTTACTTCATTTGCCTGGTAAAAGTAGACACATGGTAATAGTAAGCAAGCTTGATCATTTTATTTAAATTGACCCTGGAATTTCTCTTCTCCCAGATAGAATCCTACTCTACAGCGCCCTATGATAAATAGCATCTTTACATTTGATCTGTTTTTGCAAAGACTTTCTTCTTTGGTTAACACAGAACTAGGAAACACAAACCCTGTATTTTAAGATACCAAAAGGAACTAGATTCAATGTTCAGATTTCTCTGAGCTTTGAAATAAGCTAAAAGATATATATATATAAAACATGGTATATATAGTATATATCATATTAAATATACAATATAATGTATAATTATACATTATACAATACAATATATAATATACAATATAATGTATACTATATATTATATATACATTGTATATTATATGTATACAATGCAAGTATATAGTATACATTGTATATACATATCTATAGCTGTCTCTGTCTCAGGATAGTTCATAGAAGCAGTCTTATCAAACTCACTTGGAGTTTCTTAGAATTTATACAACTATGCTTGTTTAAGAAGTCATCCACATCCCATCTGGTAAAAAGTCAGGAAAACAGAAGCTGCTGTGTCTTAAAGGGATGACCTCTGTCAAGCAGAACAATGACACTGCACTTACATCCACTTGCAGCCACACTGTAATTGGTGAGGGGCTGATTCAATCTTTGCAATAAGCAAGCCAACAGATTAAGTACAGTTTTAGGCCAGAGAGCAAGTCTGCAAATGACACCGTAAGGTCAGCCCAAAGTGAAATATGCCTTGAAGAATTTGAAGGGAGAAAGAGCAGAGGCCAGAGTCACCTCTGATTTTAAACAAAGAAATAACAGCCAGATGTTCCTGCAGAATTTGGCTGCCCATTCCCTTTACTTAAAAGCATCTCCAGCCTTTGAAAAATATTAAAATGCTGTACTGAAGTTGAGCAAAAGGAGTGAAAACACTCACTGCTGGGTGACTGTGCATATTTCATACAAGAGTGGCAGCTCTGTGGAATTCATTCATTTCAAAGGACGACTATCCTATTGTGCAACCTTGCAGGACTTCTGAGAATTCAATCCAGCTCTGAATAGCCTACTGAATTTTGGTTAACCGGGCACAGTTGCTTGGGTCTCAATAACTTGCAGAAGATGCAAAATACCAAATGCTCAGTTTATAAGCAAAGAGCAATATTTAAAGAGTCTCCAATTTCCCCCATAAGGTCTGAACTGAGCAATCGCAAAACTGGAGATCTCCACTAAACCCAAATTTTGCAATGAAATACTCCAGTTCAGGATGAAATAAGCCAAATCCACAAAGCAGTCTGTGGTGAATGACCAAAGTGTGATGCATTATTCGTAGCACAGCTGTGCACAGTGCCCATTTCAAAGGATGAGTCCCCACTCCTCCTTTACCCACCCCCCAAATAGTGAGCAAATCTACAATTAAGTGACAGTGAATTCTTGATCTATATCCAAATTCTGGGTAATAGTATGCTGTACTGTAGTCATTTGTTTTTGCAACTATTCCCTGCTCGTCCCCTTGGCTGGGTGCACACAAAGATACAGACACACTCACACATACACAAACCAGTCAGTGTTCAGGGTCAAAGACAAAAAGGAAACTCCAGTGTGCATCTCAGTGTGAATCCCTGGGGCTCCCAACGCTGGTCTCTAAGCCCTACAGGCAAAGGTGTGTGTGAGGGGGAGGAGGAGGGGAGTCTAGACAGGAGAAGAAACCGAGACCAGGGAGAAAGACCCAGAGGATTCAGCATTAACCCGAAGATGCGCCAGCTTTGATTTCCACCCCAACCCTCCATTCAAGGCTCCAGGCAGAAGAAAGGTCTTTGTAAACTCCTTCCCTGCGCTGGGCCCCTGGGCTCAGCCTGAGGGGACACCTTTGTGTGTCTCTTTAAAAGGCATCTTCGGAACAAAGGTTTAACACCTGCACGCTGCTAAGAACAATGGCTGCGAAAGACACCAAGTCATCAGTGCCTTAAAATTAACGGGGGATTCCCTACTCCACGTTGGAAGGGGAGGGGGATAGACACACACGAAGAAACCCCCTGGGCAGCGGGACCTGGCCTCGCGCGAGGGGGATGCCCAGCCTCCGGGAGCACGCGTGTCCGTGGCCCCCGCGCAGTCTCCCCGTCCTCCGCTCCCGGGGCTCTCCCCAAAACGCCCCCGCTGCAGCCCGCCCCATTGTCTGAAACGGTCTACAAACTTCGCAACTAGTCCAACACGAACAAATAAATAAATTCATTTAATCGGGCCACGGAGAATTATCCTGAGAATATCCCTTCCCCAGACTCGGGGGCCCGGCGACCTCCTCCCGCCCCCTCCAGCCCCTGCCGAAGGGCCGGGGTATCTTTTTAAAAGACAAAAAGCAAAACCAAACCCCCGGCTCTTTACCTTGCACACCAGTTCCTCTCCGCTGTGCAGATGTACCGCACGAAAAACGTGGTCTCCCTCCAGAGGTTCCAACAATAAGTATTTCCCGATGCAAGAAACGCAATGCGACAAGTTCGGAGTCTCAGGCGGGCTCGGGGAGCCAAGGTTCGGGCTGAAACTCTGGCTGGGCTCTGCGGACCTTATAGACGACAACTCTTCGAAATCCTGGGTTTTGTTCCGCGATCTCCCATATCTCGCTATTGTGATGGGGGTAGACCTGTGTATGTTCATGAGTGTGGGGCTTGCACGCGACAAACAAAAAACCCGCTGGAGAGATGAGTCGCTGGCGAGTGCGGCTGCAGGCGCCTCTGTTCCACGGGTTTAAAAAGGAACGAGAGGGGAGGAGACGGGAACCGGGCTGCAGGGAGCTAGAGTGAGAAGCCCCTGAATGGGCGCCACCGGGCACCTCGTCTGCGCCGAGCCTGGCTCCCGCTCGCGGGGTTACTCTGTCGGGAGGCAACTCTGCTCCTTTTGTTACCCCAAAGCAGCCGGCGACGTGCGGAAACGCCGCGCTTTTAGTTTCTCTCTTTTTCTCCAACGTGGCTCCTAGACGAGCAACTGGACTGCTAAGGTGGGAGCTGCAGCGCCGCGTTCCCCGAAGCGATCCCCAGGCAGGCTTCCGAATCGCAGACGGGGCGGAGGAGCCCGGCTGTACTTTGTGCGGTCTTCGGGGAGCGCACGGCGGCGGCTGGGTCTCAGCGCGTTGGAAACCAAACAAAAAGCAAAAGGAAATAAGCACGGGTCTACCGGCTCGCGACGCGCGGCAGCCAGAATCCGCGCTGCACCCCCTTTTTTGGTGGAAAGGGTGGGGGGCGTGGAAGGAGGGGGTGCCGGAGAGGGCAGTTTACCTACGTTTTAACTGTAGATGGCGTCTGAGGCTTTTCCAAGACCGCCAGAGCTCTCCAAAAATTAAACAAACAAACACAAAAAAGAAAAATAGCAAGGGAACATTTAACTTGGAGCGGTCAGCGCTGCCAACAAAAGATTGCAAAAGCCGGGCAACGCGCGGGCCGGGCGCAGGTACCGCGACAAAGCCTAGGGCTTGGCCCGCCGCGCCGAGGTCAGCACAGGCTCATGCTGTCGCAGCTAGCTCGCGCTCCGGGTCTTCTTCCGAAAGAAGCGAGAGGTGCAGGCGGGGACAAGAGCAGATCAGCAGTCTCCGATTTCCCCGGCACGAGCTTGTGGGCGCTGGAAGGGGTGGCGACCCCGGCCCTGCCAACCCGCCACGTTCCTTTCCCCTTTTCCCGCTGGAGAACAGGATCTTGCCTCGGAATAATTTGCAACCACTCCGTCTCCCCTGAACCCGAATTGCCCGGAGGGGGTTGTTTTGGAGAATACGGACCGCTGGTCGTCGTCTTCTTTTATTTTTTTCTCGCCCCCCAGAGGTAAGAGAGGACCCTGTATTTAAAAATTAAAGGGGATGGCTGACGGTGCCGAGGCCAATCCCCGCGCTCAGCACGCCCGCATCTCCCGGCTAGGCGGTATTAATAGTTACTTACGTGGCCGGGGATCTCGGAGAGAGCTGGCTGTGTGTGCGCGTGTGTGCGCGCGCGCGCGCCTCGCTCCCGCTCGGGCTCCCCATTCAATGTCACCGACACATTTCCACGGAGCTCCCGGCCCCCAAAGCCCCCCCTACCGCCCCCGCTACTGGCTCAGCCCGGAGCCAGCCCCGCCCCTCCCCCGCCCGGGCCCCCCTCATTGAACCGGGCGCCCATCAATCAGCCTCGCCGCTGCCAGTCCTCGGGCTGCTCCCCGCTCCAGCCGGCGGCGCGGACGGCTGCCACTGCCATTGCAGCTCCCGGTCGGGGGCGCCGGCGCTGGTCTCGCAGCTCCCTGGCCGGCCGCGCGAGGTAAACAAAGTGCTATATCCTTCCGCGGCCCTTGGCCCGGAGCCGCTGCACGCCTGGTCCTGTAGGAATTGGGGGCCTTAACTTCCCACGCGGTCACCCCGGCTCGGCTCCTGCAGCTCGGTCTACTTGGTACTTAGTTCATCCTCTGGACACTTTTCCCCCAGAAAACCAGGCGTCCTGGAGGGTCCGATCTTCCCTCTTTTAGAAGAATGTGCTTGCATCAGTATTGCTACTTGGAGTTTCAAGAATTAGTTTCATTATCTTTCTCCAACACCCGTTTCCCTATCTGTAAAGAAATCCATTGCTTGCTTTTAGATGGTGTTACCATCTCCCTCCCCACCATGTCCACCCCCAGCCACCCTAGTATTTCCAGAAGACCCGCTGAAGGGACCTTTTGACTCAGGCCACCTTTAATGACTAATTCTTCCCCTCCCAGGGTAGTACCCAGAGGGCCTTGGAGGCCAAATGAGGCAAACCTTCGCACCCAGACCTCCAGGGAGCGCTGTTGGCTCCCAGCCAGGGCACTGGGCTTAGTGAGCTGTCTTTTTTTAACCCAGCCGGTGCCGCAAATAATGTTCAATACTGAGGACCTGCTAAAGGCTGCAGTTTCGTCCCCAGCCTTCCTTGAATAACTTGAACTTCCGGAGGAGGTTCCAGCCCACAGTCGGCTGGCTTGGACGGGAACACGGGAAAAAAGGGTCTTAAACTCAGGCGGAGGTTTTAAAGGCCAGACCTTGAACTCTTGTATCCTAGGAAATGAGAAACAATCTGAGGGACACGGTATTTAAAAAGATAAATAAATAAATAAAATTAACAAAGGACTGGGAAAGGGAGGTTGGGATACTCTTGGAGACTTCTGGTCTTTTCCGTAAATGTGGCGTATTTTCCACTGGGAGGAGAAGACTGCAATTTATTGCCCACGGTAGGATGCTTGAGAGTAAGAAAGATAGCTATTTATAATTCTGCTCACCTAGAAGCAGCAGCCTGCGTCTCCTGGTATGTTTCATTCTCCTCCCCACAAACCTACTTAAGACTCAATTCCTAATCCTAAGGACACACGCGTGTTCCCCTAGGCTAGCGCCTTGACCACTGACTGAGCAGGATCCCTTAATTCAGTCTTAAGCCATAAATACACTTAGCCGGTGCCAGGCACAGACCTGAGTCAATCTCTGCTAACGGGCCAGAAGGAAAGGCACCTGGCCTCTTCTGTGCAGTGGCCCCCAACAGAGCTGCCTGGGGGTTGGGAGACCTGTGCCCCAGCCCTGGCTGGGCCTCTGACTTCACATGGAAATTGAGTCAGTCAAAACATATTTTTTTTTCCTTTCTCTGTGTTTCTTCATCTGTAAAATGAGAAGCATAATACCCAACCCGCTCACCTCACGGGGTTGCCTTAGAGTTATATTTTCAATTCCAGGAAATCTATGAAGACTTGCTCTAAACCAGGTCCTGTGTTGAATGTTAAGGATCCAACTATGAGTAAGATCTGGTCTCTGCCACCCAAGAGTGCAGAGTCCAACCCCAGAGAAAGACTGGAAACAAATAATTTCATTGTGTAACAATGTGGCAATTAGAATATCAAGCCCTCAAGGGAGTGCAGAGAACAATTCTTCGCAGAATCTCAGTGAGTTTTCCCAGAAAATGTGAATTATTTTTTTACCATCGATTAATCCAGAGCCAATATTTATTGAAACCTACTATGTGCCAGACACTGGATATGAAGATACAATGATTTAAAAAATACACTTCCTGTCGTTGTGGCTCTTAAAATAGTCCTGTGAGTCATAAAATAAAATGAATAAGAGATTGTTGTTGGCATTTCAGGCAGAGGGAAAGAATGTGCAAAAGCAACGGAGTAGGATGTTCTGAAATTTCTAGTAACTCACCATGCCCCAACCTCAGCAACCCAGAGCAGCGGCCTGGCGGGGACCTGGCAGAGCGCCTTGGGAGTAGATTGGGAAGGGGCTGAAACACACAGCTAGCGACCACCATCTGCCTAGTACTGAAGACACAGAGTCAAGACCAACATTGGGAAGTGACGTAGTTGTCATGGGAGTTTAGAAAGATTATACTGAATGCCATATAGGGTAAATCTACTTACTGGGCTTCCAAAGGAAGACAGATCTCCATGGCCTGGTGAGAGCAACAAAAGTGTAAATTTATAGAGCTATGTAATAACACTACACATGACTAATCATGCATTTATTACTGCTGATTAAATTATTCAGCGGCCCTTGTTCTGCACAGGCTTCAAGGCCAAATGCATGGTTCAGGGCTGTTTGCT